TCTTGGACTTTTTTACTGTTTTGATTGATTATTCTGGCTTATTTTGTTCGTTTGTTATTGATTCTGATCTTGTTGCATCAACATTTTGTGATTATCGTAAGTTTCGGTAACTAGTATTAAAGCCAGATATAAGCTAATCGAACCTCTCTAATGGCAATCCGTAGAACTAGTCCTTTGCAAATTCGGAAACACGAGAGTCGCACTATAATGTAATGCATTGTTCTTGATTTTTGATTTTATTGTTTTGTTTAGGTAAAGACTCATTTGGATATGAAATGGGGTGGTGGAAAGAGGAGCATTTTAATGCATCCGATGCGGATGGAGACGGCCGTTTAAATATCACGGAGTTTAATGAGTGAGTTTCTTGATCAGCTAAGAAAGTTGAAATTTTCAGGACAAAAATTACCCTTTTTTTCTCTACTCTTTGTTTGTGTGCTTTCAGTGTTCGTCATCAACTACTCAATTTAATATTGTTTTTTCCTTTTCTTGTTTATAGTTTTCTACATCCAGCTGACACCAACAATCCCAAGTTGCTTCTGTGGTTGTGCAAGGAAGAAATACGGTACTTTACTTCAGTATAATTCAGTTTCATCGAAAATTTTGGATTAATATTTGTTGTTAGTCCGACTTTGACCTTGCTGTGGGGTTGATTAAACTATACAATGAAATTCTCTACCCCCCCCCCCCCCCCTCAAACAAAGGAGAATGAAAGAAATAAACAAGAATAAAGCACCATGCCTATCACACATCATTTCGTCTTTTGAATCGTTTAATGTGTAATGAAATTTAGTATCTTAAAATAGCTGAAATTTCCTGATATGTAGAACGAATATTTTTTTAGTATATAATCTTATCTTTTGAGTCTGCTTTCGTGGAAGAGTTTCCATTTCTATATGGCTAAAAAACTTCTTTCATCGGCATGCATTATATGCATATATAGGATCGGTATTACTCTTTCATATATTCCTTCTTTCGTAGAAGTTGCTTAGATACTAAGTACTTGGAGTTCTTGCTGAGTTGAAGTTATATTGTCCACGTCACTGTTTTTTAAGGAATATGCCGTTTGGTGATTTGTTCCGACTTTTACTAGAAGTGTCACTGCAAGTTGAAACACGAGTTTCAAGTACTAAAAATTAAAATACTTAAATGATGACGGACCTCTTCACTAAGTTTTGAGATTTTTTGAAAGTTGTATTTCGTTTTTTTTAACATGATAAAGAAATTATTGTTGTTATTATGTCTGTCAATCTTTGCGCTGTTAACTCTAAGAGTACAATCTTCAACAAATATACCGAGTAATTCCGAAAAATGGCCAAATTTTCGGTCTGAAATAACGGCTTTCGATTTGGTTCCTGAGGTGTTTGGTGAAATCCCTGCTTCTATTGGTTTATTTTGTGCTGTTGTTGTATTTCGGTAATTCCGATTTCTTCTGTGGAAGAAAAGGAAATTTGTAATGATACGAACAACCAGCAGTCCAACACTAGTTCACCACGGTTGAAAACGAACAAAATTTTCGAATCGTGGCATCTCGATTCGATTTCTTATATTTATTAAACAATTCTTTTTTTCTTATTTCTTATATATTGCTGATTTATAGTGAAGCAAGTTTTAATAATTTTTTCGATCATCTGTATGTGCTATTAGGAGAGTTAAATTTTAATTTAGCTAATCAATTTTTTTTCGAGCAGGGAACGAGATAGTGACAAAGATGGTAAGATCAACTTCAAAGAGTTTTTCCACGGGCTGTTTGACTTGGTCAGAAATTACGACGAAGAGAGCCACAACTCTTCTACCCACGAGGCAGATAACCCCGAAGAGGCCCCCGCTAAATTTTATTCGCCCACCTCGACAAAGATGTGACGGGTA